CGTTTCAAATGCTCTTTGTAGATCAATAAATACTGCAACAATTACTTTCTTGTCATGGACCGCCATTTTCCAGTTTGTTATAACCAAATTTAATAAGGATTCACAGCCATGATTTTTGCGAAAACCTGATTGATGCTTTGAAATTATGTTTTTATTTTCCAGATATTTTCCTAATTGATTATGCACAATTTTTTCAAAAATCTTGGCTTCAATCGAGATCATGTTCACCGGACGAAATTCCCCAGCTTTCTTAGTGTTTTTAACTTTTTCTATCGGCACAACAACTGATTCTTTCCATATTTTAGGAAATACGCCAGTCTCCATTGAACTATTTATTATTGACACTAAGTTTTCTCCAATACAGTCAAAAGAATCTTTAATCATATTAACATTTGCAAATTTTATATCCTTTTTGTTATTGATGTCTTTTAATATTTCTTTTAATTCATTACCAGTTATTTTTTTAAATTAATCTTAACTTTGTCAAGAACTGAAATAAGTTCTTAAGAGAAATACTATAATAATTTTTTTGAGGAGGAGCTAGTTGTTCCTGCAAAATACTGTTAATATTTCCAAAGTCAATTATAGATTAAACTTTGTATTGGGTATCATTATTTTTTATCAAATCTTTTAACAGCTCATTGAAAAATTTTGAAAAATTCTATAAATTTTTCCTTTTTGATTGCTCATTTCATCGTTTTAGAGTGCTCACTACAATTCATGCCATTGGAAATTTTTTTCTTTTTCTGGTAAGTCGTGAAGTTACCATTTATATAAATGGATTTCTTCAGTCCGCAATTCACTTCAGCAGTTGGTACTTTTAAAAACCAAATTTTTAAATTGAATTTAGGATTTTTAGTGAAATGCAATAAATTTTAGGAAAAAAATCCCTATTTTCGATTTTTTTTTGGAACTTTTCTGTACAAATAAACTTTTTCAGGGAGACTGCTAGCAAAATAACTAACCGAAAATTCCTTGACTGCTTAAATTCCCACTGCTGTCCTCTCACCCACTCTCTCTGGAGGCTAGCGTTTTGGCCATGCAAACTCCATATATTTAATTCGTTCAGCTTTTTTCGCTTCTGGAATCCGCGAGCAGCTTGAATAATATATATACCTATTTTTTTCTTGAATTTATTATTATGATTTATTGAGTTCCAATATTATTGAGTTAAAAGTCTTATTTCTTATATTTTCTCACATTTGTATTAAAATTCTTTAAATAAGGTATTGCATAAACTTTATAGTATTTACGCAACTTATTTACAACAAAATACCAAACTATACCTGTTACTAATACCAAACAATACTTACATAGCTTACGTGTAAAATTCCAACTGCAATGGGGAGTTTTCCCATAATTTTCCAAAGTCAGGTTAAAAAAAAAACTACGTAAAACTTCCTTTCTACATTTTTGGTAGTTTCTATTTAAAACTAATAATAAAATGAAAAGCTTTATAGGTTGAATTTGCCAGGGAATTTAAGAGTGACTCGAAAACTTATCTCGAATAAAAAATTTTTATTATTTCATATCATCCCGCTGCAGTATACTTTGGGACTTCATTTTTTCTTGACAACTTTCTTTAAGAATGATAAATTAAAATTCAATTTTATAATACTTTGACTCGTAAAATGAACAAGAAGGGATGAAAAATTCAACAAATTATATAATATAAAAACATCCTGGGTAATAAAAAAAAAATGTCTTAATCTTTTTTTGTTACGTGAAGGTCATCAATCCTAATGTGTTGAATGCACATAAGGAATTGAAGTGAGTATATGGAAATCTAGTTGTGTAAAGTAAATTTTCGTCAAGCCGGATGGGTTTGTAAAGTAGAATATTTAACTTGAATAATATATTAAGGCAAAAACTGTAGCAAATCAGTTGGAATATATCCTTCAAATTCTTTACAATCGGAGGTTTGGCTTTAAGGTTTTGTTTTTAAAGAAATTAAAAAGTCGTTATGTATTATGTACAACAAATCTTTAAAGCATTTAGTAGTTAAAATTTAAGACATTTTGTAGTTAAAGGGACAAAAACTAAATAAAAATTTTGTTCTAGAAAAATTGAATTTCTAAATTAAATGTTTTTTATCTTTGAAGATGCAAACAAATTTTACAAATACATACACGGTCAATCAAAGTAAAACTATAATACAGCAAGCAGAATTTGGCTTTCAATTTAACTGGAAATATACTTCGAAATATTAGAAAAAAATATTCAAATAAAATAAATTTAAGAAATAATAGAAAATTTAATATGACGGCTAAAAGGCGACTGACCATTACCAGCCAATTGAAAATAAAATGAGAATTTCGCAAATGTGTGAAAGAAAAATCAATGAACTTCATATTTATATATTAATATTTTTTTTGTAATGTTTATATACATTATTTTATACGTATTTTTATTTTATCGGTCCCATATATAATAAGTTAAGATCCTTTGTGTTATATAACTATATTTTCATTGTGCATATCCCTATTTACATAAATACAAAAATGAAAAGTAAACGCAGTAAATTTTATGGATTTATATTTATGAATTCCGTCCCAGATAATGTTATAATACATTCCATTTCCTTTTTCACTTTTAACTTAAACCTAAGATTTAACCTACTCATCCTTTATTCCAATATATAAATTCATATGTAGGAATATAGATTTATGCATTTATATAAAGTATATTTTTTTCCTGTGATTTATTTAAGAAGCTTTCCATTCATACACTTTATACCATATTCTGTATACATATATATGAATACAGAACGTATGAACATATACTGGTTCTATATACATATATATGTTTGTATATGAATGAAACGTATTCAAGTACTTAATATATTTCATGGTGAGTTTAACAGCTTTATCAATGGATTATCTGGAAAAAAAAAATAGTTCCATGTTGATGCTTCCATTCAATTTTTCTCTCTATTTTATTTCATTACAATACTTTTTAATATTTTATATTTCAATTGTATATTTATTGTTAAAATGGTTAAACTTTATTTATTTATGATACAGTTAAATTGAATAGAACACAACTCAATAACAATGTTAAAGTATTTAAAAAAAAAAAAGGATTCTCAATAGAAAAAGCAAATACAATTTTCTTTTTCATTTTTAAATTGGAGAATAATAACCTTTTAATGGGGTTACAAATGTCACACTCAATAGAGTAGTGTATTTTAAGGATAAGAAGTAATAATTCTTTTAAAATGGTATCTAACTATGCAAGGATAATCTTTAAGGTTATATTAAAGTTTTATGAACAACAAAAAAAAATATTAAATTTTTTTTTGTATTCTTGCAAGAATATTTTAATATTTTCGAAAATTATGTCATAACCCATTTTAAATATGTAAAATTTAAATATGTATGAGTTGAATTAAATTGCATAAATTTAGGCAAAACTTAAAATTAAGGTTTAAATGTCTTTGGAAATTCCAAGTTATTTTGATTTTTAAGTAAAGTATTGTGGCACTCTTAATTCAATATGCGAGTGTAATATAAAAATATGTTTTTTGTGTGTTTAAGAGTTTCTTTGGGTTTTTTTAACAATTCCATTTTTCTCCATTTTAATTGATTTAGGCTCGAATAGTACAAATTGATTTCATTGTCTCCATTTGTATTTTAATATACAGTAAAATAATTAACAAAAAATATTTGTGAGTATTGGTGTAAGAAAAGTAGTGGTAATAATAAACTTCTTTCTAGTCCACTCGGACACAGCAGGTTTAGCAATTATAATTTGATGCTCTCGACATACGTTACTCTAAATTTCAATTAGTTTACAGAAAACGGACTAATAAAAAAAAAATGAAACTTAAACAAACCATATTCAAAGGACGCCTGAATTCAGAAAAATGTACTTCTAAAACAAACCTTTGAATTTCAGATTTTTAAACAATAAGTTGAAATTTCTAAATAAAAAATTTTACCATTAGAATTATTTTTAATTAAAAAAAATAGGAAAACAAATATTTTACTAAGACGTTCTTGATTTTAAGACCTTTAACTAAAATTCTTGATGTGTTTTAAATTCTGTTATTATTTTATTAGTGTGTAGTGTAAAATGTCCTTTCAGAGACTCTCAACTAAAATCCTGAATGTAGTTAATGTAAGAATATAATCTGAGAATTAATTTCATAAATGCCTATTATATCTTAAAATACGATGTTCGCGTACCCATCTTTAATATATTTTAAAAACTTTAATTTTATATATAACCTTATGTAATATTATAAAATTTCAGGATTGTGGGTGATTTTCGAAAACGAAAGAAAAAAAATTCAAATAATAAAAATTTCAAAACCATTTCCATTTAGTCCATTTATGTACCATGAGATTTAGTTTCGTGTGATGAAAATATATTTATAAAAAGTTGTGAAAGTCTAAAAGGTTTGTAGGTATTATGCTTTTAGGTTATTTTTTATTAGATTCATTACGCTTTAGTAATTTTCATCTCATAACTGCTATTGGGTCAAATAATAATAAAAAAAAAATACAAATTAACAAAAAAAATTATTATTGCATTTTGAATTTAAATGAGAATTTAAAAAAAATGAAAAAAACAAAATTTTTTTTTGTTGTTTTTAAATGAAATGAAAATATGTTTAAATTAATGTTCCAGTATTCTGGGAAACTTTTCCACACAAATGAGTTTTTCCTTTCAGAAAAAAAAAAATTAAAACAAAAAAAAAAACTGACATTTTTACTCCAATATTTAAAATAAAAAAACAAATTCTAGATATGCAAATAATTGTACATTTTTTATTATAAATACCGAAGGACAACTACAGGATTGAAACAAAAAAAAAATATGTGTTTAAACTAAAAAAGGCCGCTTTATGAAAGGCAAAAAGAGATAGAGAGAAAATATAATAAAAAACAAAAAAAAAATATTTTTAATAAAAAAAGCAATTTTGTTTTCTCTTTTCTTATTTTCAAAACACAAACATTTTTATTGGACTATGTTGTGCTACCACTGCATAAAAATAGTGACGGATCAATGCACATCACCAGACCGAATGGTTACACCGATACGAGAGCATTTTGTGAACAAATCAATAAACAAACATCAAATGAAATGACAGCCGTTGTTCACTTTACATCAGGATGGTAAGCAATTTAATTAATTATTCATATCTATAGACATACATATATGCAAATATATACATACATATAATACATCTGTGAGTACAAGTGCATGTCAATGTACGTTTTGTTCACACAACATGTATAAGTATGAATGCATGTATAAAAACAAATTAAATTAATTCTTGTAAAATTATAAAAACACAAAAATTTATTTATTTTTATTAAATACGTATGTATAAATGTATGTGTGTATAAAAAAATTTTTTTATTGAGGTTATATGCATTTTAGGCAATATAATATGCAAAATGCAACAAAAAAAAGTCTAAATTAAAATAAAAAAAATAAATTTTTTAAATATTTTAGTAGCAATCGTGACCGCACAAAAATTTTAACATTTGAATACTTTCCACTTGACATAAGTTGTTGTTCTCATTAAGTATAGAATCTATTAAATTTCACATTTTTTTATGTATTCCGTTATCAGTCTGTTTTAAATTATATTGTGGCATTTCTATGAGAAAGGTTAGCCAAATTCTACTCAAAAATTGAAATGTATTGGTAAGACTTCCCTCATCTTAGTCTACCGATGGTTATACCAATGTACCGATGATAACGATTATGGGGTTTAACTTAAGGCTACCGTCCCTTTGTTTCATTTTTATTTTTAAAATTAAACTATTTACTTGTTTAAATATAAAGTTACCAGTTCAAAAGTAAAAGTAAAACATTTAATAGAAATTTTCAGAATCTTAGTCCTCTTTAAATCATAAGATTTTAGTATCGGAACACGTTTACAATAAAAGTAAAAGTATTGTTCGAAAAAAAAGTAATTGTTTTTTTTCAAATACGCAAAGTATAAATATGTATAGAGTTAGTTGCATAAATTTTATTCTCCAAGGTCTCTAAAAAAAATTAGATTGCTTTAAAACAAAACAAAATTTTTTTTCGAACATTATAATTTAAATTTTCGTTCAAACTCGTTGCATTTAATACAACATGAAACATTGTTTTTAATGCATTGTTGAAATCTTATTCCAGCATGCACGAAACCTAAGTTGAACAATTAAAATATAAATAAACGTGATCTAAAATATTAAAGGGCTAGAATCGGTTGCTTTTAAACAAGATTTTACAGCAAAAATTTTATAATCCCCGTTACGTTAAGAAAGGGTTAAGAAATTTAAAAAAATTTTTGTAATAGTGTTAATTAAGTTATGAAGTTTAAATTACAAAATATTCATTAGAATTGGCCTAAAACCTTATTTAGTTTAAAAGTTTTTCGATTGATTAACTTCTGTTATCCTATTGGTTTTTTTTGTAATATTTCACTTAACGTGTCTGAAAGCTTAATTTATTTAACATTTTATTATTATTATAATAATTTTCAATTAAAAAATTTATTAAAACAATTTTAAATTCATGAATTTTAATATAAAAAAAAATTTTATTGTTCCCAAAATAGTTTTGCTTTTATTTTTTCATGCTTGCTTTCCCTTTTTTCCAATAATTGTTATTGAAATCTAATTGAGTGCTATGCAATATAGACCAGAAATGAAATGCTAGAAAAATAATTACTTAAAGAATTTCAAGTGAAACAAAATAAAGTTGGTTAAACCAATGGTTTGTAAAGAAACACTTTTCCCTCCATGAAACAAAGTAAGTGAAAGTATTGCTTTGAAGAGCAATCTACACTATTTAAATGAGTATGTAAATAGTTTCATTCATTATATCTATATATATAAAACTATTGCATACATTAAGGATGAGCAAAAAAAATTAGGAACGAAGCATTAGTATAACGATTTAATTGACCGACTTGACATGTGAGTTAACTAAAATATTCATATTTTCTTGACATTTACCATTACCATTCTTTAGCTATATAAATTTGCAAAAGCTACTCCTTTGAAGAGGCAATAAATTAATAAAGGAAAGAGGTAGAAAAAAATCTTTCTTCCACTAAAATAAAATGTCTATTAATAATACAAAAGCTGTTCAAATTTCAAACTCTTAGTTTGGTTAGTTATCGTATAGAAAACAAGCGGTATCAAAAATTTTAATGAAAAATAGATTTAAGATAACGATTAATATCAACGTCTATTTTGTTTTTTAAAGCTCAACAAAACAATGTTGAATGTAGGTATCTAAAGAATGTAGGGAATGTTTGTGATTTCGTTACAATAAATAATCGAAAAATGGCATTTTTATGGTTTTGATGGGCTATAACATTTACAGAGGAGGGAGAAAGGGGGGAAAATTTACTTCTACGAAATTTAGTTTCTAGTGAAGATCTATGATATAGTGAATTCTAGTGAATTTTAGCTTCCTATCTTAAAGGGTGTAAAATTTTTGTAAACATGTCCACGGACGGACGGTCGGACAAACAGAATGAAACTAGTAAGTAATTCTTCACAAAAATTTTTTTGAAGAACACAAAAATTTAGTTAATGTTTAATGGTGCAATTCGATCGCTCTAATTAAACAACAATGTAATAAAAAAAATAAATTCATGAAACATAATAATAATAAAAAAAAAAATTTCAATATTATTTTAAAAATAATAGAAAGACAAATATGTAATAGCAATTTTCATTGCGTTGAATAACAAAATACATACTTTTGGTCTCATTTTTTATATTTGAATTTGATGAATTTGAGCAATTATTTTGAAAAAAGGTATGATTCCTTTCTTCGACAGTTTATTCACTTTATTAACAAGGCAGTAAAGAAATATCCTTTCAAAAGGTTTTAAATTATTTAAAACTTGTTTTCCGACATTTCAGTGAAAATGACTTAGAATATATCAGATTTCAGATAATCGGAACAATATCAAATGTTACCTATTTTTTCGTTTTAATATGTTGCTAGCTTCTATAATGATACTAAAAAAAAAATCAAAATATTTGATAGATGGGCGCCTACTGCTTCATTTAAAAACAGGTTTAGATGAAATTTATGAAAATAATCATGTTGCGTTATGCTCTTTTAATATGCATATGACTGTAAAACATGGGATGCATTTGAGCAATATACATAGGGCAACCTTCTTAATCTACCAATTTTCGAGAAATTGTTTTCTATTTAGTAAATACATACTATGTATGTATATTCAATTGCCTTTCTCTTTCGTTCCATTAATTGTAATTTTTCATGTAGGTACAACTAGACAATATTTTGCGTGATTTTTACTATTGCCTTATGGATAAAATCTAATGAACCATTAAAATTATATTTTGCTTTCGTTACTCCAATTCCCTCTTGTTCTCATTGTATGTAAATTGTATAAAATTTATCAATGAATTTTGTTCATGTTCAATTCATTGTTATTCTTGTTAGTTTGCTTAGTGGTATATTTCCTTATACGAGTACATACACATGTGCATACATAATATTTTATTGAAGATATTTTTCTTTAAAAGCATATTTCATTAACTTTTAACATTATTATAATTATAGACTATTATGACAGTAATTACCATTATAACTTTGCCTACTAAAAATTATTTACAAAAAAATGTGAAATATATATACACACACATAAAACAAACATTTATAAATTATTATTTTTTTTTTTTTATCTATAAAAAGTTTTTCAGTTTTTGTAACTAAAAAAAAACACAGAAAATAAACATGAAAAATCAAAACTGAAAAAGAAAATAGAATATATTTTGGAAAACAAAAAAAAAACAAAAAAAAATCTTGTCATTTCATTTAATATCCTTTTTTCATACTCCTCTACAATATAGCAAAAAAGGATTTATGTGTATGTCATTCTATCGGCGTGATATTCATATAGCTGAAATACAGATGGGACAACCAGCGTCTAGACTAGAAGATGCATGTTTGCCAGACCATTTTGATGTTACTAAGATGTTATATGTAACACTGTTAGGTAAGTTGCTTTATTATCCTTTATCATATGAATCATATGAGTTTATTTTAAATTCCTCTTTAATTTTTTTTATTTTGGATGAAATAGTTTGGTGGAAATGTACATTTACAGAATTTTTGTTCTTCTTTTTTTATTATTTATTATTTTTGTTAATTTATGGCAATAAACTTGACTTTTAGTCAGTCAAAAAAGAAGAGGCATAGAAAGAAAAAATTTCAAATTTTAAAGAATTCCAAAGAAGATTAAAGTAGATCTTAAAATTTTTTTCACAAAAATATTGTAATATTAATTAATATGTATGTGGTTATGGTAAGATTTCCCATCCGTTGTTATTAATAGTTTTATTTGTACTTATCATAATACTTTATATTGGCGTAAGGCTGTTATGAAACAAAATTTTGGTGCAATTAAAATTTTTATGAATTTGTTAAGATGTTAGGGATATACACAGATAGAAAATAAGGTAGATTTGGGTTTTTGAGAAATTGTGGGTTTAGCATCCTAATTTTTTGAAACACTTAAAGCTAAATGAAGGAGTTTCTTGATAATCTGCATCTCAGAACTTGAGTTATAAGTGAACATATTTTACATTTTCATCTAATCAAAAGTTCTACTTCATTGACTGAAGCTCACACGTCGGTAAAAATATTTTTCAGTCATCATTTGGTGACCTCGAAATATGTCACGTTTCAAATATGTCAAATTTCTCTTTTTTTTACGAATTCACATTGTTGTATATAATTAGAATGAATTCCAATTTAATCTACTAAGCCTATATTGAAGTGGCACTATTTGTAAGAAAGTATTCATTCGGCTTTGCATATACCGAATCCTGTACTTTTGTTTTAAATAATACTATAAATTATTATTGTTAGGTTATCAATAATTAATATTTCAATTAATTCTCAAAAATTAACATATTTAATTACGAATATAAATATTATATATAAAATACAAAGTTCGTGTTGTATTTGGAAGAGTTTATATAAAGAAACCATTCCCTTAATCCCTTATTAATCATAATACCTTTTTGCTGTTTTTCTTAATTTTGATTCATAGACCGCGGAACAAACCAAAATTTATTTCAAATTTGCATTATTTTTTTTTTAATGCATATTGATTAGATATTTTGCTCTTATACACTTAATTTTTTATTAAAATATGACTGAAAAATTTACCTCGAACATTCATTGGGATCTCATAAATAAAAATAATAAAAAAAAACATTAAAAAACAAAAAGAAAAAGAACCCCCAGAAAATAAAATAAAAATAATGAAAAAAACAAAAACAACTTTGTGAAGAAAACAAACAAAAATTTCGAAACTAAAGAATTTATAGTCGAATAGGGGATCGTTCTTCCCCCAAACCGTACATTTATTCATTCTTCATAAGGATAATAAAAAGCTTTAAATTACTTTTAAGAATTTTTATTTTTTTTTTTTGGTTTCAGTTTTTTGGCTTTTCCAAAATTGTTTGTCCTTTGAGTTATAACTTGTGTATTTTCTTATTGAGTTTATCGTTATTTGTTGTTGTTGTTGTTAATGTAAAAGGACAAAAAAGTTTTCTCCTTCCTTGTTGTTTTTTTTTTTCATTTTATTTTTCTTAACAATTTACATGATTTTTTTTCCTTTCCAAATAAATTTTGCTTTGATTTTATTTTTTTTTTGTTGTTGTTATTCTTTTGTATTATTTTAACATTTTAAAAAAGAATTTTTATTACTTTTCGACTTCTTTTATTCAATTTGGTCAGAAAACAGGATCGGTTCGAAAAAGAATTTTTAAAATTTCTTCTTAAAGTTTTTCTTGTTTATTTTTTTTTTCTTATTGTGTTTTTTAATTTTTATTTAAACTTGTTGAAATAAACTAAAGTTAAAATTTTGATATTTTTCGTCTAGTAAAATTTAATTTTAAATAAAGTTTAATAACTAACAGAAAATTTCAACAATAATGTCAAAAATTATTTTAAGAAAAAGGAAAAACTAAGTTCTTCTTTTAAAGTTTAACTACTTGAGACACAGAATGATAAAGTGTACATAGTTAAGTATATAGAAGAGAATAATAGAGTATTGATTTTATTTGGTCTAATTAAGAATACCTAAGGGGTTATAAAACACTGTTAATAAAAAATAGAGTCGATGCAAAGGTAAAGGAAGATGTTACCAAAGTTTTAATATAAGTAATACTAGTTGAAATTAGAACAGTTCCATATACTCGTAACAAACCTGAAATTTTGCATTTTTAAATTTTTCAATAATATTTTAATTTTGTCAATTTAAAACTTGTATATTATACTATTCAAATTTTTCAAATACATTAAGAAATTGATTGATGCGTTGGAATTAATTATGATATGTAAGAGTTCCATTTTCTTAACATAAAGTGAATCCTGTCTCCAGGTACATTTATCGTATTCTACTTAATTCTACCAAATAATTTAAAACAGACCATTACAATCATTAAGCGTAGTAACAATATTTCATCGAAACTTATACTATACACAAAAAATCAATTGCTTAACAGAAGGGCAACAATTCCTTTTTTTTTTTTGTATCAATTTCTAAGAAACCAACAATCTGAATTTTTTTTTCTATTATTCTCAATTATTTTTAAAAGCATTTATAGGAGACTGCCATATAGTCAATTGCTGCATTATATGATTTAATTTACTACGTTCAATTCAAACTTAGATGTATTTGATTATGAAAAATTTAAACAATTAGTCAATGGTTTACGTATCGTGTTAAAATAGATTATTGGCAATTTTAATTATGATCGAATTTTTACGAAATAAAGACAAAATTAATTTTAAAGTATTTTTAAAGCTTTAAAGAACTGTTATATACTTCTAAAATGATAAAAAACAGTGAAAGAAGAGAAAGCCGAAACGAAGGAACAAAGTGTTACACTTTAAAATTTCCAAGGATTATTTCTGTTCTTTTTTTTTATTTGTTTTTCTTATTCCTTAATTTTATTTTTTCTTAAGAATACCATTGTCACCTTAGAAGATCATTAATAAGGACAATAAATTTAATTTCTGTTTTTTTTTTTTCATTTTTTTTTATATTTCTTACCCCAGCATAATATTTGTTTTGTTCAGAAATTGAGGAAATTCGAATTGAAAAATATTTTGAAAGCAATCATGCTGAAATGTGTGAAGGGAATGTTAAGAATCTTAAAACAACAATAACAAATTAATGTCGAAATAAATAAAAGAAATAAATAAGTTTGACAGTATGAGGAGCAAGTCCCCCTTATATACAGAGAGAGAGCATGTACCCATGAAAACAAAAATAAAACAAAAAAAAAAATTGAAATAAACAAAAATTATCAAATGGTGGTCATAAGAAATTCAGATAATGACGCCTTTTTTAATTTTTGTGTAAAAAATTCTATTTCCAACAAAGAAAAAAAAAAAACAAAAAATTTTTCAATAGGGAATTAAGGAAAATGTTTAAATTTAGAAATGGAAATTTTCTTTTGGTTTTTTTTTTCTTTTTTTTAAATATCGTAAGCTGTAAAGGCTATTTTAAAAGTTATTTTAGTAATCGCAATACGAAAACAAATTACAAAATTTTATATAAATTTCAAATATCGTAAAAAATAATGACACAAAATCACTTGTAAATCAAAATGGAAAATTTTCTATAATCGCACATTTTATAAGAGTGATGTTGTAATTTTTGAACTGATAATATGAAAAGCCTCAAATTTTTTTCTAGATTAAAATTTTGACCTCTTCTTATATGTTATTGAATTATGCAATATTGTATAATTTCCTGCATATAAGAAAGTTAATTTTTTAATGAGGAAGGAACGTTGATTAAAGTAGCATATACTTCTGACATTTATTTAACTGTAAGAAGAGGATTCGAATTTTAAAAACCATTCTCTTCTATTACAGACCAGTTAAGTTCAACATTCTTAAGTTTTACGGAAAATTTTAAAGTTTTCTTTTATTTGATTTCCTTAAGTTTTATAGATACACTCAATATACCCTATACTTTTTTTTTCACTTTCATTATTCTTGGCAGTACTTAATCTTATACTTATTTATAATATTAAGTGGAATGGAATTTCTAAATAAAAAAGCAAAGTTGTTTTAAATATTAATTAAGAAATTACGTTCAAATAAAAAGGCCGTAATGGTGAATACATCAAATTCCATTATTTATCAAAATTTATTTTTTTTTTAATTACATACTTCCAATGTCAAAAATTCTGAATATTTCACCTGTTACTTATTCAGTAGTTCAAATACAATTTCTTCTTCATGTGCGCACGCTTTTCGTAGATTACAGCCTTCAATCATTCCAATAACTCCATGTAATTTTCGCTGTTGATCGCTTTAGGCGGCTTTCACCCGCTGGTGTCCACTCAACCGACTGTAGATTTGACTTAGGAGTGAAATGGTGGATCCATGCTTCATCGATTGTGAAAAGAGGCAGACATGCCTCAGAATCATCAATTCGTTATTGTTTTTGGTCCGGAGTTAGCAAACGCGGCACCCATTTCGAACAAAGCTTTATCATACCCAAATGTTTGTGTAATATAGTAAACACACTATCTTCTGATATCTTAACGACCTCGACAATCTCCTTCAATTTCAATTTGCGGACGAATAAGACGATTTTATGAATTTTTTTGATGTTTTCTTCAGTAACTGCCGAATTACTGCTACCGGTGCGTGCGGCATCATCAGTATTTGTACAACCACGTTTAAAGTCAGCAAACCAATTTTCAATAATTTTCCTCGATGGAGCGGAGTCCGAATAACACTTATCAAGCCATTGCTTGGACTGCACCGTGTTTTTTCTCATCAAAAAGCGATGCTTAATGAGTACACGAAATTCTGATTTTTCCATTTTTTTCAATTCACAAAAGTTGATTCAATCATTCAAACACTAACTTGGTAAATAATGATCCAAATGTCATGAAACTTTGACAGATGTCGTTTGAAGTTTGGTATTTTCTAAAAACCATACGGATTCGGTATTTGTAT